TTTAAATACCAGAGGTGGAGGAATCAGAGCTCCCTTTTTTTTTTGTTTTTGGGTTTGTGGTTGTTTTTTTTTTCAGAATGGAGTCCCAAATTAATTTGTTTTATGAATTGTTCAGCATTAATAGATTTCAGCTTCGTCGTTGATGAGGAAGACCGGTCAAAGCAATTGTCCAAAATTCAAATTCTGCTCTCTCTTCCCACATCTATAAAGGTTTTGAGTTCAAATATACTGTAAAAATTCTCCTATTGGCAGGGATTTTACGCATGCCATGTTCAGATGTTGACCAGCTTGTGTAGCCGAACTAGGGTGTGTACCTGAACGTGCATGGAGAGATACATATAGTATATTGCACAGTGACATGCTTCCCAGTTACAAAATAGGGTTTTCTGGTTTTGTTTTTGATTTAGCGAATGCTGTACAAATCTTGGATGTTAGTTTTTAGTTCAAATCTTGAATTTCCCTGTGTTTATGTAAAGCTTGGCCTGTTAACCCTTTGACTGCAAAGGAAACGTTCATTTAACCCTCCCTCTGTTCCCTTGTGTGTGCATAGCATGCTGTCATTGTGTTATGTGAGATGACCATGTGATTCCAACCCTAATTTGTAAAATTAGCCTTTTAAATTCTCATTTGATCTGTTAGTTGAAGGAGTTAGGACTGATCTGGGTGCGGGCATTGAATTTGAGATGAGAGCTAAATGTTTTGTGTTCGTTAGCATTTCCTGGCAACCATCCATAGGGATATGGTGAAGTCACTAGCTATAGTTCTGAGTTAGGCAGGTGACAGTGGCGGTATAAACAATCTAGAAGAACATTAAAAGCAATACAGCAAGAATAGATCATGTAGGTCATGATCTCCGCTTTTTTGCCCACCCCGCCATCTACTCTGACTCACTGATCTACCAGAAAGAAACTGTCCATTTCAGCCTTAAGCATATCAACCAGCTGAAGAAATGACATCTGTGTCTATCCAGTCAAGCCAATATGAAAGGATGTGATTTAAAAATTGAAAATACTGGAAACAGTGGATGGGGCAACATTTTTATGGAGAGAGAAACAGTTAACATTTCAGGGTGGTGATGTTTGATGATCTAATATCTCTTTCTGTTTGCACAGAGTCTGCTCTGAATATTTCCAGCATGTTCTCTTTGTATTTCTGATTTTGCCAGCATAATTTTGCTCTTTTCAAAGAAAAAACGTGAATTTGGGTTTGAAAATGCAAAAGTCTTCCGTCATGATCTTGATATTGCACCTGTTGCATGTATCAGTTTTAATGAGTTATGTTTAAATTTAACCGGGAAAACTGACTCAGAATGTACAATTATAAGAGGAAATTAGAGGCGGCTGTGGTAAATTTGCAAACAGGAAATGCTGGATGTGCAGAGTATCTGAGGTAGAACAGAGATGGCTTCAAATTTGAGCGATGAGTATTTGTAAAAGAAAATTCTTTCCTTTCTAAAGCAAGTTTCACGTCCTCAGGACAAGTCCAAATGCTTTTTAACCAATTTTAATGTTTTGTTTATGAAGCATGGTCACTGCGGGAACATTTGAAAACACTGCAGCCAATTTGCACACAGGCACCTCCTATAAATAGGAATGAGGTGATGCCCAATTAATCTCTTGTTTTTGGTAATGTTTGGCTGGAACTCTGGGAGAACTCTTCAAATTTTGGTTTTGCTGAAATGGGCAGACTCTGTTTAAACATCTTGTCTGTTAGACAGCATCTCGGACAATGGACAAATTCACTGGGATTGCTAACTTTGATTATTAGCTGTAATCTCTGGAACTGTGCTCAAACCTGTGATCTCTAGACTCTGAGGCTAGACTGTTGCCCACTGGACTTGTGCCAACACCGTTCTTAACTTCATTCTGCTGCGGGTTTGCACCTAGGCCCATCCAGCTTTTCCTCCTAGCGGAGCTATCTTGCATTCACTGAATTTTTGAAGTCCTGCTGTCAGTTTGTGAGGAATACCTGCTGTTGTCGGAATCAGCTTTTTGTGGTTTGTAGCCTTTCCAGTTTGGGTATGAGCTGAGATTTTAAGGTGAAGCATGTTTGTTTTAGATTCAAAACTGAGTGCTGTTGCCTTCTGACAGACTCTTGTTCCAATGACAATGGCTTGGACTATTGTATTATGGAGGCTTGCTCTCGCTCACAGCAGCCAGTGCTTATTCACCCTTCTTCACCTCATTCCCCGTCATTTCAGAAGTGAATGCAAGTGAGTGAGATTTTGGGAGGAACATGGAGATT